ACTGCAGGCTGTGCCATGGCAGGAGGGCAGGGCTCCTGGGGGGCAGGCAGGGTTCGCTGGGGGGGGCAGAGCTGGGGGCAGGGTTCGCTGGGGGGCAGGGAGGGCAGAGCTGGGGGCAGGGTTCGCTGGGGGCAGAGCTCCTGGGCCCACCCTGGCTGGCGCTGACCCGCTTTGTGCAGATCCGTCGGGTGATCGGGGACTTCGGGGTGCCCATCGCCATCCTCATCATGGTGCTGGTGGATTTCAGTATCCGGGACACGTACACGCAGGTCAGTGAGGTGGGCCCCGTGTCAGGGACCCACAGGCTCTGTGCTGTGCCTGGACCTGCAGCCAGCTCCTGGGGGGACCCCTCAGCTGCCCTACCCCAGGGGTCCCCCTCTCCCTGCCTCCGATGGAGCCTCAGGGCTCCAGCCCTCCTGCTGCCCCCCACGAGCTCTGCCAGTGAGTCCCACGGAGCCGGGGGAGCCTCGTGCGCCCCACAGGGACCCACGCGCCCAGCCAGGACCAGCCCCGGCACCAGGAGCCTTTTCCCCCAGAGCAGGTTGCCGACCCCGGGACACCGCACGGGAAGCCCAGAGAGGCAGCGACTCAGTCCTGGTGTGGCCTGGAGCTGGGGACCCGGCTGGTTCTGTCTCCCCATCCCCGTGTCTGTCCGCCCTGGGTGGAGCCAGCGTCCGTCAGCCCGGCCCCTGGTCCCACTGGCACCGGCCGCCTCTCGGCTTCATCCCCGTCCCCGCCCAGCCTGTCCCGTGGCGCGGATTTCCCCCGGCTGGGCAGAGCCTGCCCCACAGCCAGGGTCTGCCCCATGGCCAGGGCCCCATGGCCAAGGCCCCGCAGCGCGACGGGCCCAGCGGCTCCGGACTCCGACGCCGGGCCAGAGCTGCCCGGCCTAGGGGGATGGGGCCACGGGGACGGAGCTCTAGAGATGGGGCATTGGGGCGTTATCACCATTCCCGTGTTCGTCCCAGCCTGCTGCCCCCTGCCCCCCACCTCACTGTCCCCTGTCATGCCTGCCCCCATCCCCTCTGCCCCCCAACTCCCCATCCCCCCTCACACTTGCCCCCTGTCCTCCCCTGCCCCATCCCCCCTCACACCCGTCCCCACCCCCAACCCCGTACCCTCTGCCCCCACCCCCC